GCAGTGGGGGGACAGAGTCTCACTCTGCTGCCCAGGCAACAGATTGTGCTGTGGTACAATCTCGGCTCACTGCAACTTTTGCCCAGGTTCAAGCGATTTTCCTGCCTCAGCCTCCTGAGTAGTCAGGATTACAGGCGTGTGCCACTGTTATCTGGACAATTTTTGTATTTTTAGTAGAGATGAGGTTTTACCATGCTGGGCAGGCTGGTCTTGAACTCCTGACCTCAAGTGATCCGCCAGCCTTAGCCTCTCAAAGTGCTGGGATTACAGGCATGAGCCACTGCACCCAGCTGAGTAATTCTTATTTTAGAATAAAGCATAAGAATAGGGCATGTTCCACTTTCAGTAAGGGAATGGGAAAAATAATAACATATATTATATATGTGAAATTATATAACAAAGATGCTCAAACTGTCTATAATCTTTTATAAGATCATTTGCTTATAATTTTACTTTCATATATATGTGGGTCACAAACTCCAAAAACGATTTTAACATTTACAAATTTCTCAGCAATACTGCTTGTTAATTAGTATACCAATTGTGTATGCTTCAAATATTACACTTACCAAATGTTTTATAATTCTCTTATACAGTCATTATTTGAATAAACAAGTAGTGAACTGTCACCAACTAGAATTTTAAATTGCTATAAAAATACAGTTCTACTGAGCAACCCTAAACAGTCTCTGCAACTTAGAAAAGTCAAATTTCTTACTTTATTTAAATCTTCATGGAGGCCATCCATTAGGAATAGAAGCAGTTCTTGTGAATCTTGCTGGCTGTATCCTGCAAACTGGTCATTGATCTTCCCAATGGTGATTTTAAAGTCTTTTGGACTGATGTATCTATACTGTCCTGTCCACAGGGCTTTCATGATTATACCAAATTCTTCTGCCACTTCACCTTTATGCCCCAATAGATTTGACCTGTGCAAATAAAAGTTACAAAAGATAATAAAGGAAGTTTAAAAGTTAAGTAAGGTACAATGGATTCTTGATGTCAAGACAATATTATTCACAAATTGTAGCGCTACATTAAACTACATATTTACTTGCAGGCTTACCACCAGATTCTCACCTGAATCTGACTTGCTCACATCCCTCCAGCTTCCTTCTTTTGGCAACAAGCCCTACATGGTCTCATCAACAGGCTCCAATTAATGACAGTGAGGTTCCGCCTTCCAGCACTGCTCTCATCCTGTCTGTCCTTTACTAATCAGAGAAGGCTTTTCTCTAGATTACTCTCTTTTTTTGAGATAGATACGGTCTCACCCAGGCTGGTGGAGTACAGTGGCACAATCACAGTTCACTGTAGCCTTGACCTTCTGGGCTCAGGTGATCCTCCCACCTCAGCCTCCCAAGTAGCAGGGACTATAGGCATGTGCCACTACACCTAGCTAATTTTTGTAGAGACAAGAGTTTTGCCTTGTTGCCCAGGCTGGTCTCAAACTCCTGGGCTCCAAGTGATCCACCCTCCTCAGCCTCCCTAAGTGTTAGGATTAGCAGTGTGAGCCACAGTGCCTAGCCTTCATTATACCTAAGAATAAAGATATTTTCCCCTTTCTAATTTGACTTCTCTGGAGCTGAATGGTAAGTATTAAGGTTTGAAAGGTAAAATAGGTTCTTGATGTCAACATGAAGTTATTCACATACTGTAGCCCTATACCAAAATGCTTATTTATTCACAGGTTTACCACCAGATTCTTAACTAAATCTCACTTCAAAGATCCCAAAATTCAGGTGTTGCCAGTGTGATAGGATTAAGAGATGGGGCATTTAAAGAGGTGACAGCACCAAGAGGGCTGCCCTCCCTGGTGAATAGGATTAGGTACTGTTATTAAAGGGCTTGACAGGAAGAGTTTCTCCTTTTGCCATTTGACCTTCTACCGTGTGAGGATGCAGCAAAAAAGCTTACCAGATGCCGGCATCTAGATGATGGCCTTCCCAGTCCAGAACTATGAGAAAATAAACTTCTGTTCTGTTCTTTACAAATTACCCAGTCTCAGGTATTTTGTTATAGCAGCAGAAAACTAATGGACTAAGATGGTAAATATGGTTAGATCATCCTTTAGCATTATAATACAAAAAGTATGACATTTATTTACCTGTTAATATCATCCTGATAACAGTTTCGGTTGAAATAATCAGCCAAATGTGGAGCATTACATAGGCACTGCAATATTGAGTTCATATAACAAGTATTTCCTAAGTTACGAAGTCCAGTGAGAGCTGGTCCAGAACCTCCAAAAACAGGATTGAGGTTACGAATCTGAGAAGCAGAAAGCCGTGAGATCTCAGCTTTAGGGTAGCATGTCGGCCTGAGGAAGAAAAAGCATACAAGATGTCTTAAAATGCTGAGCATCTGAAATTAAGGTTCTATACTATAAAAATGGCAGCAAACTGAAGTACCTGTACGACAGGCATGTTGTAAACAGTAAAAGTGTTAAATCATAAGGTGCTGGGTCTTCCAGGACATTTAATATTTAGGTTAACATTAGTCATACGACTAAGGTCTGAGACCTTTCCATGAAACACATACCTTTAACCTCTTTTTGTTGTTGAAACAGAGTTTCGCTCTTCTTGCCCAGTCTGGAGTGCAATGACGTGATCTTGGCTCACTGCAACCTCTGCCTCCTGGGTTCTAGCGATTCTCCTGCTTCAGCCTCCCTAGTAGCTGGGATTACAGGTGCCCACCAGCATGCCTAGCTAATTTTTTGTATAATTCTTAGTAGAGATGGGGTTTCACTACGTTGGCCAGGCTGGTCTCAAATTCCTGACCTCAGCCTTCCAAAGTGCTGGGATTACAGGCATGAGCCACTGCACCTGGCTCATAACTTTAACCCTCTTATGTGGGTCATGGATCTTACACCATAAGATTATCTAGCTGCTCATGAACCAGGAGCTCTAGTAGAGAAGGTTCTTTTAAACTACTTTAAATAATCCCTGGAAGTCTGGCACTATAAAATGTTTGAACTAACCCAGAAAGCCAAACAAGGAATTAAAAAAACAAAACAAAACAAAACATACTGTGGAGTAGATATCAAGGGAGGCAGAGGTTATTTGTGTACTATTAATTACATTCTAGAATGTGTTGACTATCCAAGAATGGCTAGTCAAAAAATACAGTTCTGGCTGGGCATGGTGGCTTATCTCTGTAATCTCACCACTTTGGGAGGCTGAGATGAGCGGATCACCTGAGGTCAGGAGTTTCAGACAGCCTGCCCAACATGGTGAAACCCCGTCTCTATTAGAAATAAATAACAAAAAGTAGCCAGACGTGGTGGCACGCACCTGTAGTCCCATCTACTCAGGAGGCTGAGGCAGGACAATCGTGTGAACCCAGGAGGCAGAGGTTGCAGTGAGCCGAGATCATGCTACTGTATTTTATCCTGGGTGACAGGGTGACACTCCGTCTCAAAAAAAAAAAAAAAAGTTCCTCATTTGCACTAAGGAGGAACAAACTTTTCAAAGTAGCTACAAACCATACTGGACAGCAGATACAGAACATTTCTGTCACCATGGGAAGATCTGCTGGACAGTGCTGGAGCAGAGAATGCCTTCTAGACTTTTCACCGTGGTGTATTGATTTAGATATGGAAATACTAGAACTGCTGTGGCATAAGGAAAATCTTAAGGGATAGGTCTTTTTTCTTAATTAATCCTTAACCTTCTTCCACCCCTAAAAGTAATACTGAGAACAAATTAAACTACATTTCAATCAGCTTTTCTCTACACGTGCTCAGTTGCATTTACTCGTGCTCTTTTTCTGTTCTATATATATTAAAAAATACATGAACAACATGATAGTCCTTCAAGCACTGTCAAATTAACACACTTTACTAAGAATGATGATTCAAGAAGAAATTAAATCTCACTAGTTATTATAATGAACCCTAAAATCTGTAACAAGATTAACAGAATTTTTAAAAGCTCCCTCGAATAAGTCCTCACCTTGCAGGTTAAGTTCTCAGGAGGAAAAAATTTCAACTACTTTCTTAGAATGTGTTACGAAGGAGGCTTTAAGACAGCCCAATTAAAATACCCTGGCAAATACAAAAGTGTGTATAATAAATGGGGGAAAAACTCCATTTATTTATATTTCCATCTATTTCCCCCCCTCCTCCCAAAAAAGTAAAGATTAAAAGTAGTACACAGACTTGAAAATCATCTCTTCATAGCCCTATCAGTCATAAGCTAAGGAGATTCCAAAACAGATAAAGCCAGAACTATAGTTAAATGAGAACCTATTTTGGGAAACTTAATCAACCTATTGGTCACTATTTTTGTGAACAGAACAGCAAACAATACAATAAAGGAAAAAGGAACAGAATAAGGATTAGAGGCTGATATACTAAAGTGCTTGTTATTTTAATACCAGAGAAAAACTTTGCGCACATTATGGGCTAACGAAAAAAGGTTTCGAACTTGGGTGCTGCAACAAGACAAGCTCAATAACCCTGTAAATTACGGTCCTCAAAGGGAGATTCAGGGGCCATAGGAGGTCTATGAAAAACGTGAGGGGACTCTGGCATGCCGCTGTAAAACACAACAATGATATCATATTTACATTAACACTTCAAATAATCCTCTCTGGTATGATATTAAGTGAGCACTTGGGAGAAAAACCAACAACATTTTCTCTATTCTTTCTCTGTGGTAAACAGTAATGGCTGGTATAGATATCCACAGAAATTTCTGACTCCCTGACACTAATAAGCTGCTAGAGTTAGAGTGGAAATGTTGAAATACAGCACATTATTTTAGTTCTAGAAGTTAAGATAAACATACTTGTTTTCCCGATTAACTGTCGGAGTTACCGTTGGCTTCCTCTTCTCTTCCTCTTGAATAGCCTGGGTTATATCTGGGGAGGAGTAGGAGCGCTTCAGTTTGGAAGGTTCTCTATCCCGCTCAGCAGGAATCTGTGGCTTGGCTTTATGAGTGGGAGGTGTGGAAGGAGGTGCAGATGAAGGAGCCATTTCCGGTGGGTACATATGAACAGTGTTGGTGGGTGAATGATAATAACGAAAGGTTCCAGTGATTGGGTCAAGAAACTTAGATTAAAAAAAAGAAAAAAAAAAAAACAGGTCAAAAAACAAAAATAACCATTATATAAACAAAGAAATCATTCCAAAGTATTCTGCTAAATTTACTTTTGGATTAAAATAATTTGAATAAAATGGTGATAAACTTCAAAAGAAATTTAGGTTTTAAAATAAAATACTCTTTTTTTTTTTTTCTTTTGAGAGGAAGCTCACCACAACCTCCACCTCCTGGGTTAAAGCAATTCTCCTGCCTTAGCCTTCTGAGTAGCTGGGACTACAAGCGTGTGCCACCATGTCCGGCTAATTTTTGTATTTTTAAAAGAGACGGGGTTTCACATGCTGGCCAGGACAGTCTCGATCTCCTGACCTCAGGTCTTCCAAAGTGCTGGAATTACAGGTGTGAGCCACCTCACCTGGCCATTTCTAAATGACAAATACCAGAATGCTCATATATTGTAGCCAGCATCTCAGGTTGGGTATTGAGAAATCTCACCCTGTTATAATTAGGGGAAAAACCTATGTGCTCTGTAATAGAGAAATGAAATTGACTTTGCATTACACAATATGTAAAATAAACATGTTAAAAACATATTTTTTAGGAACACAGTGACTATTTTATTGCTAATTTTGACTTTTACCTTGGCCCAGCCTGAAGGCAGTCCTGGTACGATCCTCCCCATTTCTTCACTTCTTGCTCTTGTCAAAGGTTCTCGTTGAGCCTAGTTAAAAAAAAAAAAAATCTACTTTTTCAATTAAATTTTGTTATATAAAAACTTAAGCTACTTGTACCAAAGAATCAAAAAAACCATGCCTTGGCTGCCCTTAATATTTTATAAAACAGATTCAGAGATGAAAAACAATTATCTTTTTCTTAAAGTACAAATATTACTATACCACGGTATTGAGGAGTATGTCTAAGCCTGTAATGATAGCAGGTGGCAAGGTGGTGGTAGATGGCTTCTGTGGTAGTTCATAGGGAGGAAGACAGTGGATCCAAGCAAATAAGAAAGGCCACAATTTTGGTTTTTCTAAAATTTTGCATCTCAAGCTATTTTATTTTTAGTCAATTTTTTTTCATTTTCCACAGTAAACGATTACATAAAATATAAACCTATATTCTTCAGGACTGAGTGTGCCCTTTCTCTGTATGCCAAGAGGTGTGAGTAGAGAACAGATGATATAGCATCCTAGCAAATGAATATTCATAAGAAAGGCTACAAAATTTCATTATCATGGCCTATTGTAAATCTACCTAAAGTCATCTTGCTCTCCCAACATTTCTTCTTCTGTATTCATTCATTCCATAAAATACTGATTAAATGTTATGTAAGTAAAAACAAACCAGCATATTGAGGCATCAACCTCAATATAATTGAATATGATACTTCCATTTCCTTTAAAAAATTATTAATAACAGAAAACAAAAATGCCCGATGAACCACCCACTTCTATTTTTATATTCTTCTTGTCTTAAAATATATACATTCTAGGCCAGCTCACGCCTGTAATCCAGCACTTTAGGAGGCCAAGGCAGGAGGATCTCTTGAGCCCAGGAGTTTAGAGATCAGCCTAGGCAACACGACCCTGTCTCTACAAAAAATTTTTAAAAATCAGCCAGGTTTGGCTGGATACGGTGGCTCACGCCTGTAATCTGTGCACTTTGGGAGGCTAACCTCATCACTTTGTGTGGATGAGGTGGGCGGATCACCTGAGGTTAGGAGTTCAAGACCAGCCTGGCCAACATGGTGAAACCCCATCTCTACTTAAAAAAAATGCAAAAAGTAGCTGGGCATGGTGGTGTGTGCCTGTAATCCCGGCTACTCAGGAGCCTGAGGCAGGAGAATTGTTTGAACCTGGGAGGTGGAGGTTGCAGTGACCTGAGTTCATGCCACTACACTCCAGCCTTGGCAACAGAGTGAGACTAAAAAAACAAAAACAAAAAAACCCCAAACAAACAAAAACACCCAGGCACGCCTGGTGGCATGCACCTGTGGTCCTAGCTACTCCAGAGGCTGAGGTGGGAGGATCACTTGAGTCCAAATGCTCAAGGCTTGAGCCCAGGAGGTCAAGTAAGCTATGATCATACCACTGTACTGCTGCCTGGGTGACAAATTCTGTTGAATACAAATGTGTAATAAATAGAATCTGTGTGCTGGAAAAAAAATTCTGTCAAAATGAAGTCAAATGGCACAACTATCCATCCACATGCAAAAAGATAGACTTAGACCCTTATCATACTATATATAAAAACTACTTTGAGATGGCTCATATATCTAAAGACTAAAGCTAAAACCTTAAGAAGAAAACATAAGAGAAAATCTTCATTACTTTATGACTCTGGGTTAGACAAAAATGATTCTTAGACACAATACCAAAAGCATAATCCACATGAGAAAAATATGACAGAATAGACTTCCACAAAAACTTTTGTGCTTCAAGAAACTCCATCAAGAAAATGAAAATATGCCGGGCGCGGTGGCTCAAGCCTGTAATCCCAGCACTTTGGGAGGCCGAGGCGGGTGGATCACGAGGTCAAGAGATCGAGACCATCCTGGTCAACATGGTGAAACCCC